GGGGAGGCCAGCAGGAAAAATGAGCATCACCGGAGAGGCACGGTAACATGAGATGGTGAGAAACCAAACTCAGTCCAGGTAGCGATCCGCAGCTCAGAGTAGATTTGGCTTTATGGAAACCCAAATCTAAATTTGCATAATGTTTGGTTTAAAAAAAAAAAAAAAAGTATTTTTTATTCCTATGCAATGGGGAAAAAAAAAAACCAAAAAACCAAAATCAGATTTCTGTATTCTTGGCCCCGCTCACACACCCCGCAGTATTGCACACGCTGCTGAAATGCTGCCGTTCGCTCTGCCTGCGTTTGAGGAGGTTACCTGTATTCTGAGGAACAACCTTCAGACCTACAACACTAAAGTGATGAGAACTGACAATGCAATTTCCTTTGCCTTAATGAGCTCAAGACAATGGTAGGAACAGTCTGTCATACTGTATTACGCTGAAGGAAATGTGCAGTTTTCAGTGACAATGTTTACTATGTACAGCTTTGAGGGTCTCTCCAGTGGCCTGGAACATGTGCTGAAAGCCAAACCTTAACGTTAATTTTTTTTTTTTCACTTTTTTAAACAATATTTTAAAACTGAATTGTATTTAAATAAACTGTATTTCAACACAGATGCAAGTGTTAAAAACCCTCTCAAAATAGCAAAAATCAACAGCAGGAAAAAAAAAAAAATCTGTACCAGTTGTAGTTTGTTTTAATGCCTGAGGCTGGGCACAGTCTCATCTAACATTCATCACAGAGTCGAAACGATAACAAAAGGACTGTAAAACTGAACTTCTGTCCAGCAAACTGTTTCATTCCTTTCTTCAGAGCTTTCTTTGGGATTGTTTCCTTTGTGTAGAGTTAAGGCTGATGTTTTTTAAAGTGGCTTATGTGTACTTCTAGGTAACGTTTTTAAATGGTGAAGTCTGGTTTTAGAGTAAGTTCAAATTCAGAAGTCTTGAGTACCTTAAAGCAACACGAGCGTAAGAGAGAAATGTTTGATGAGCCAGCAGCAGCTGCAGAGCCTTCCCTAAATCAGAGCGAGTTGTGGCTTCAGATCTGCTACTGAACGCTGTCCACTTTGTACCAAGAGCAACCAAAGCTGGTAAGTCCAAACAGAGCACTTCAGTTCCATAGAATAATCCTTAATCTGTTTTTAAAAGGCACAAATCCATCTTTTCTCCCCCAAAAAGGCAGCTTGTTTTAGTAGTTCCAGCTTCAGTGGCTGAAAGAACCAGTTCTTAAACCTATTTTTGTACATTGGAAGATGGAGATTTCAAAGAATGCTATTTATTCCTATCTTTGTCCTAAAAGTATAAAAAGAATTATTCTCAAAATGGATTTTACTGTGGAATAGAAATGATTTTTAAGCGTAAGATGGAAGGGAATTGCAGGTCATCTCCCTGCAGGGGCACAGAGTTCACAACGAGTCTTCCCTCGGGGGAGTGAGCGACGTGCGGTGCGGTTTCAGAAGTGTTTTCAGAAGTGTTTTTTTGGTGATAGAAAAACTCAAAATAGGATGGAATTTCCAGCAAACTCCTCCTTGTGCTGGCAGTCTGCAAATTAAGCATTAATAAATATGCCGGCCTCGACGTTAAACAGTAGGAGTGCGAAGAGGGAAACCTCATTTTAGCAAGCGAGGTATTGATCAGAGTTCCACGATGCTTTTCCTTAAAACAGCATGTCACACTCCACTTTTTGTGAAACTTTTTCATACCATGGTCATTAACTCTTGGCAAATTAAGCACCAGACTTCCAAAAAATAATGGTCTAACACTAGACCTTTACCGTTACCCAAAATTCTGTTTCGTGCTGTTTCTCGCTGGCAAGCTTCAGGGTGAAGGTACTCAAAAATTAAATGTAGTCTGTGGTATTTGGCAGAGCGACACGCCGCCCCAAAATAAAAATGACATCAAGTGAAACCCCTGCACGTGGGTTAGCCGTCTGTTTTTTAACTGGAGGTCACGGACACTTGGAGCTGTGGATTCGGGGTAGTCTAGACCACCTGCTAAGTGAGATGGATGTGGGCAAATCTGGAGAGAAATCCATGGAACCGAGCACTGGCAAGAGTCTAGAAAATGCTTTTGCTGGCTGAGGCCCCGTAACACTGCCCACTGCCCCTGCCCACCGCCAGCTCCTGTCATAAACCCTTGGAACTACCTGTTTGCGCTCTTAAATTCTTCTTGGGTAAGCAAAAAACGTGTTGGTACTGAGGCAGAAAGCAAATCCTGTGTGTTCTCAAGTGCAGATTAACAGCTTCTCTTGGACATAACTTTCCACTAGGAATGAAGGAAACTCCTGCTCCCATTTGAGCCATTTCTTTTACTTCGGTCAATTCTAGTATTACAAATTGTGCATGTAACTTTATAAATATTTTAAATAGTTTTGTAAATATTTAATATTCAGCTAATTTGATTTTGAATTGTAAATGTCAAGTATTCTGGTATTGGGATTTTTATGTTTTATTATACTTTGTTAAAAGTAAAATTGTACATTTTTAGAATGTTTTTATCTGAGTAAATTTAATGTATGGAAAATAAAGAGTTAAACAGAATCCCTTCCTAGTTTTTTAATTTAAAGGGGCTTCATTTGTGTGGGGGCTTCCCCAGCTTGGCACTTATCAGAGACTTTGGGGTTTTTTTTTAAATTCCCTTTATTACTTTTGCTGTCTCTCTACCTGCAGACACCTGCTTCTGAATCGCTCTCCTCCCCTTGACTCTGCTCCTGGCTGAGCCGAGGAAGCTGAGCTGCCCCCAAAGGTTTGCACTTGCTGTTTGTTACCGAGAGCGGCTGTGGCCTGACTCCAGCTGCCTACCCAAGCCCGTTTCATGGGGAAAGGGGAGCCGGAGGGAGGATGAGGAGGGAAGCTTTGCGCCCTGTTCTGTGGGAACGTAGCAGCTGAGCCTCCGGGCTCTGCTCTGCCACCTTGCCTGGCCCCTCACACAGGTCTGCGCTGAGTGCAGAGGAAGCCTCGGGTTGGGGTAAGAAAAAGGAATTGCCAGCTCCCTGCATCCTTCAACCTGTAGCCGGTGCCTGGGGTCGCTCCTGACAAGCAGAGAGCTGCTCTCGAGAGCATCAGGGTCCGGAAGCCCTGAGCAGGAGCAGAAACAAAACCGTGATATGGTAACCCCTCCGTCTACCCCGGTCCGTACCCAGCTAGAGAGCAGAACTGTTTTACAGGGCGATGACACCTCAAATTCCTCCTCCTGGAGGGTGGTAGCTCCCTCTCTGAGTTGTTAATCACGATCGATATCGGAGGGTTCAGTGCAAGTGTCTAGTAGTTGTCAGCGGGTCCCAGTTCATGGCCTTATGTGTCCTGAAGCAGGTAGAACAGACCTCTCTGTGCCCTCCCCTAGAGACTGGCTTTAAGAAAGCTCTCGAGAAATAACCACACAAGCCATAGTTACATTGGGATGTAATCCATCCATATCAGCACTGTATTAATTTTAAAAAAGCAACATTTGTACAGGAATATCAGTCAATCACGTTGTAATTACAAGTATGGTTGTCAGTTATGAGTTAAACAATTTCTTCCACGAACAAAACTAAACATAGAACAAGCTGCATTTAAAAGTTTACATTGGAGTAAAAACACAACAATAAAAAATCTGAAGTAAGCGTTGTGAACGAGATGCATGCAAAGAGGTGTAGAGAGGTACAAATTGTACACCTTATTGAGCTAGAGTGCCAAGACGCAGTAGTATTGCTTCTTTTTCCCCCGTTATAGTAAGTTAGCTTCCAGTAACAGATGGAGTTAGTTCACAGACATATAATATACAAGAGTAATCTCATCCTGCTATGCTTCACTTAACAACTCTAGAGGAAAACCACAGGTCCTACGAGATACTTTTCCTCTGCACAGGCTGCTCCCTGCTCAGGACAGTAGTAACACCAAGATCTTCCAAACCCCATGCAAGTGGCAGGAGACTTCAGTGACAGAAAAAAAAACATTTGTTCGTCAACTCTCGACAGCAACTCCTGGACGTGAGCTGCTTCTAGAAGCGGTTCTCCCTGACTTCATCCCCCCTTCGGGTGGTAACATGCAAAACAAGTGACAGACTCGGTAGGCAGTGTGGGTTGGTAATTCCAGTGGCACGTCCGAGTCCGATGTTCAGTACGGAGGTGTGGAAAATGAAAGCCATTCGCCCG